GTTCAGCAGGAGACAGTTCCTCCAGCTTTTCACAGAGGACCTTCCCGGGCCCAGGTCCCGTGTTCCTCACTGTCCTTCAAACAGAGGCTCCATCATTCAGTCAAATAATTAGGGACATTCAGGCCAGGCGCCACAGTGGTAAAGAATCAGCCTGCAGGAGATGCCAGAGACGCGGGTTCGATCCCTGGGTCGGGAAGATCCCCTGGAGAAGGAAATGGCAACCCACTCCAGAATTCTTACCTGAAAGATCCCACAGACAGGGGAACCTGGCGGGCTACAGTCCATGGGGTCACAAAAGAAGCAGACACGACTGAGCGATGAGCATCCTCCCCTGGATAAGACGGTGTAGACAGGTCCCTTCCTGCTGCTGTCTGCAAAACACAGCTACAAACCCTGGGGTGATGCAGGAGGCAACCAAAGGGGGTTCTGACAAGTGGAAAGAGAAGGTGAGCTGATCAGGGACTCCAGGCTGAGTCTGAATGGGAAACAGCTCGTGTGCATCCCCAAGCAGGCTCACTGCTCTCCTGGACTGACCCAAAGCCTCACCAAACACAAGCTCTGCCAGGCAGAACCAGCAAGGGGACGACCCGGAGCCCCCGATGTTAAGTGGCCAGGTGTCAGGTGGTGGTATGGTTTTTGTTTGAATCATCACATTTGATTTAGAGTCCTCATCGAGGAGGAAAGTGTATTGTACCTACATTTTCTGCTCTTTCCATTGTTCTTTATGCCTTCCTGATACTTTAAGATTCCTTCTTTTATTATTTCCCTTCTGTCTTAAGAGTTTCCCTTCGCCATTCTTTAGACCTGTCGGCTGACAGAGGAGGCCTAAGGGCCTGTCCTGGAATTTAAAATTCACAGTCGAGGGACTTCCCTGGCAGTCCAGTGGCTGGGACTCTGCGCTTTCAGTGCAGGGGACATGCCTTCCATCCCTGGTCGGGGAACTAAGACCCTGCACGTCGCACAGAATAGCCAAAAGTATTCACATTCAACAGTCCTTTCATTTCAGGCTGCCCTCAGACCCTGCTGGGGACAATGTCCTGGAACCCATGCTCGGCTAACGTGGATTCTGCCACGCCGCTCAGAGCCCAGCTCCACGTCCTCCTTGGAGGCACACCCCCAGGTGCCCCCCGGCCCGACCCAGCAGGAGCTGGGCTTCTGGTGCTCCTCTGACCTCCTTCCTCCTTCTTGGCTCCCTTGTAATTGACTTAAAATTGTGCAATTAAACGTTCGGTTCATTACAGTGGACAGGTGAAGAAAACAGACAAGGGGACGCCTTCAGGAGCTCACAGACTGGGGTAAGGTGACCCCGGGACAGGTGAACAACGATGGTACAACCTGGTGAGAGCTCGGGTGGGGAACAGCCTGCTAGGTGAGCACAGAGCAGGAGCACACATCCTAATGTGGGGGAGTCAGGGAAGGCTTCCTGGAGGAGGTGGCCTCCTAGAGGTAAAGTTCCTCAGGTTAGGCAGAGGGTGGGAACATTCCCAGCAGAGGTGACTGTGGTACCCACCAGCCTGGGTGGGAATCCCAGGCCCTGAGCCCACTCACGGGCTGTGACTTCTTTGGGCCTTAGTTTCCACCTCTTTAAGTCTGAAAAGGAACTCGGGGCAGGGGAGGGGGAAGGGCAGGGGAGTGCAGCGTCACCTGCCTTGCAAGAGGCTCAGTGAGGACCAGGCCTGAGAAGGAGGGAGGCCCAGTCCCCACAGGCCTGGAGTGTCCACTGAAGGTCTCAAGGCCCAGTGCTCGGTATCAGACCCTTCCTCTCGTTGCGCAGTCTGCTGACCTCCGTGCTTCCTTCCAGGATCTTCTGCCGGTGGGAAGGGCCAGGTAAGCCCCCAGCCTGCCTTTGTTCAAGGCTGGGGGATGGCCGCTGCCCTCCACCTGCGCTCCAGCAGGCGGCGCTGTGGACTTAGGCTGGGGGATGGCCGGCTGCGCTCCACCTGCGCTCCACCAGGCGGCGCTGTGGACTTAGGCTGGGGGATGGCCGGCTGCCCTCCACCTGCGCTCCACCAGGCGGCGCTGTGGACTTAGGCTGGGGGATGGCCGGCTGCCCTCCACCTGCGCTCCACCAGGCGGCGCTGTGGACTTAGGCTGGGGGATGGCCGGCTGCCCTCCACCTGCGCTCCACCAGGCGGCGCTGTGGACTTAGGCTGGGGGATGGCCGGCTGCCCTCCACCTGCGCTCCACCAGGCGGCGCTGTGGACTTAGGCTGGGGCCGCCTCCCCGCAGGGACTCATGAAGAGCCCAACAGCGGCAGGGCAGGCGGTGTTTCCACTCGCAGTGGGAAGAGCATCTTTCGTGGTCCCCGTCCCCCCCCAACCCCCCGCACTCCAGAGAAGAGGAGGGAGCTGAAAATCCAGGCCCATTTTCAAGTGCTTCATTTCTAAATTATCCTGGAACCGTGGCGTTTGGAGTTGAGAAGAACCTTCGAGATCTCCTCCCAGGCAGAACAAACCGCGCGCAATCCCTGATCTCTGAGTATAACCCCCACCCGGCGCTGAGGTGCTGTGGCTCTGGTTTCACCTTCAGAGGGATCCTCCCTCTACTGTTAGGTCTGCCTCAGGCAGGTGAGAAGGTCGGGGCTCAGGGAGGCTGAGAGACTCATACCAGGGCCCGCAGCCCGTGACTGGGAGGAAGGGCTGGAAGTCTGACCCCACACGCCCAAGCCGGATGCTCTTGATGATGCGGTCTGCAGCCCCGAGACCCCTGGAGGGCTGGACGCCCCAGCTCCCTGCCCTGCAGCCTTCTCCTGTAGTTAAGGGCCTTGACGATCCATCTCCATCCTCGTTCAACCATGCCCACCTGTCAGACTCCAGAACTGCAGCCCTGAACACGGCATGTGGGGCCCCTGCTCTCCTGGGGCCTGAGTCTGTGGGTCCCATCAGAGGAGAGCACTGCGGTGTCCGGGCAGCTGGTGCTGTTTAGATCAGGAAGTCAGAGAAGGTGGCCAAGACCTGGTGGGGAGATGGCAGGTGCAAAGGCCCTGGGGCAGAGACCAGCCTAACTTGCTGTGATCACATCTGAGAAAGAAAGGGAACTGTGGTTGTGACTGAGAGGTCCCCAGGTCACTGTGATCATCATCACTGGCCTCCTCGCAGTAGCTAATGTTTATAGAATGCTTGCTCAACACAGGCTCAATACTAACAAAGTACAACATACACTTTATTTTTTAATTAATTAATGTTTATTTATCTGGCTGTGCTGGACCCTAGTTGTGGCATGCAAACTCTTAATAGCAAGGCATGTGAGATCTAGTTCCCTAATCAGGGATCGAACCCAGGCCCCCTGACTTTGGAGCTCAGAGTCTTAGCCACTGGACACCAGGGAAGTTCCATCATGACCTTAAAACCTTGAAATTTAAAGAGGTCCCACAGCTTCCCCAGCGCCAGGCAGGCTGCCCATGGCAGAGCTGGCCCCCTGACTCCGGGGTGCCTGCAGCTTAGTCTGCAGTTGTCCAGCCCGCAGGCGGGAGACAGAACAGGAGCAGACCCCAAGGCTGCAAGACTCCCCTGGAGGAAAATGAGAAACCCCCATCAGGCTCTGATGAGGCCGTTCCAAGGGAGTCGGAGGATAGGCTGAAAACAGAAGCAGCATTCTTCTCGTTTGCAGGCAACTTCCCTCCAACATGCATGTCATGTGCGGGACCGCTGACCCCAGGGTGACAAAGTCAAATGCGTGACCAGATTCACACGCCCTGTTCTGGGCGAACTCGGGCCTCACACCTCACGCACACACTTTTATCACTGTCCCCTGAATAAATGTGTTTGTGATTTAGGAAATTCCACACCATGTCTAATTTTATTTATTAAAACAAACTCAGGAAGTAATCACAAGGGAATCTGGCATTCCTGGAGGATTCTGGCCGGGGGCTCCTGTCAGCAGCCTTTGCCCAAAGCATGTCTTCAAATCTGATCTGGCCGACTGGGAAGGTGTTTATTGAGGAGCCTGCGGTCATGTCTGGATCCTGCTGACGACAGTGACAAGGAGGACAGTCCATGAGGCTCAGTGAGACAGCTGGAACTTATCCGGGCATCATCCGGAGGTGAGCCCGTCACTGTCTGGTCCAGATGTTCAAGCCCGGATCTGCAAGGCTGTGTTCTCTGGTGGGACCAGGCGGGGGAGAGTCTGTGTCGGGGCCTGGAATCCAAATGCACTTGGCTCCTTGGTCCAGCCAAGGAGGCTCATTTCTGCCCAGCCTGGGCGTCTGGAGTCTCAGTGACTGCCGTGGGAGAACTGGACTTTGGAGGAATTCACGTTGCACCCTTCATTAAAACTGTGCTCCTCACAGCTGCTGCTGCGTCTGCAATGGGCAGAGCACCAATCTAGGGGTGCAGGGCTAGACATCGAGCTCCAGCTCTGCTTTTATGGACTCGCTGTGTTACTTTGGGCAAATGTCTTCACCTCTCTGGACCTCACTCTCTTCCTCCCAGTCATGAGAGTGTTGGCTTAGAACAGTGAGTCTCAGCTGCGGATGGTTTTGCCCCCGTAGGGGACGGTGGGCAAAGTCTGAGACATCCCTGGTGGATACAGCTGAAGGTTGCTATTGGCACCTGGAAGGTAGGGGGCAAGGATGCTGCCAAACACCATACAGTGCATTAGACAGCCCCCACCACAAAGAATGAACTCACCCTAAATTCCACCTGGCGGCTCAGGTGGTAAAAAATCTGCCTGCAATGCAGGAGACCCGGGTTTGATCCCTGGGTCGGGAAGATCCTCTAGAGAAGGGAATGGCTACTTGATCCAATATTCTTTCCTGGAGAATTCCAAGGACAGAGGAGGCTGGCGGGCTATGTCCATAGGGTCACAAAGAGTCAGACATGACTGAATGACTAACACGTTCGCTTTCATGATGTCAGTGGGGCCAAAGTTGATGCTGGTTGTCCAGATGACAGGAGAGGACCAAGGCCAGCCCTGGCCAAGCAGGACTCTAAGTGGAGAAGGCCCGCTGCCCAGTTCTTCCCCCGTCCTTGAAGCTGTCCAGGGAACACAATGACATTCCAATGGGTTCCCTTTGGCTCTGGGAGCAGCGGAGGTGTGAGGAGCTGGCAGCCAAGGCTGGAACTTGTGACTGTGAATCCTGGGAACTCGGGGTCAAAACGTCATCTCAGGGCTCCTCAGAGGGTGGGGTGATGAGACCCGGACCCGCCCTCTCTGCTCCATCCGCCTTCGTTTGTTCGTCTCCTCGGAGCTTCAGAGACAGGGGGTGTCCCTTTAACCTGATGGATATTCTCTGCCTATTTCCAGAGGCAGTGGTGCCAACATTCATCTTCATTTATAAAAATCTGTGTTCCCCTTTCAGATCTGTCCTGGAAGTCAGACCCTGCCCAGGAGATGGCCACCCACTCCAGAAACCCCAGACCCTAGCAACTGACCCCAGCAGAGCCGAGCTGGATTCCAGGGAAGAGCCGGGCAAAGCTCTCCCCGCTTGTCCCTAGTTTGCGTTTTCTCTTCAGCTTCCTCCTGTGATTTTCTAAACCAGACAGCTTCCTAGGACACACACCGAAGTGTTTTAAAATGAGGCAATAAGAGAAATCACTTGCTCTCCAACGATGGCTGGTCGGTTATTTTAACGAGGGTTACATCCTGCGTTTCTGGGACTGAGCGCTGACTTGGGAATGCTGCCGGCTTTCTGTGTCCACACGAGGGCGCTCTTGGCCGTGGCTGCTGGGTATGGCCTGTGTCCAGGGTCAACCCGGGAGCCCCCTGGAATCAGGGCATCCATTTTCCTTTTTTCTCTTTCTTTATAAAAAACGTATTTATTTATTTGGCTGCACCAGGTCTTGGTCGCAGCACGTGGGTGCCTCGATCTTTCCTGCGGCATGCCAGATCTTTTTTTTTTTTTTTCTTTCATGCCCGATCTTCAGTTGTAGTACGCAAGATCTAATTCCCTGCCCAGGGATTGATCCCTGGGCCCCCAGCATTGGGGACATAGAGTTTTAGCCCCTGGACCACCAGCAAAGTCCCAGGGCTGTGATTTTTTTCAACACTTACTGTTGTCTGATTGTCTGGAGATGGCTGCTCAACTGACCCTGGCCCTCTGTGAGGACCTGCTACTGTCCACGTCTCTCTCCACATCCTTCCTACCCATCACTCGGCACCAGTCCCTAAAGGATTTCTCATAAGGGTTTCAAAAAGCTGGAAGTGAGCTTGGTTCTGCAGCTGCTGAATCTCGAATCACTGAAGAAGAATCAGAAGTCACTACACAAAAACCAACATCGAGTCTTCCCTGGTGGCTCAGTGGATAAGAATCCGCATGCCAATGCAGGGGACATGGGTTCGATCCCTGGTCCTGGAAGATTCCACATGCCACAGGGCAACTGAGCCCATGCCAACTACTGAGCCTGTGCTCTAGAGCCCTAGAGCCGCAACTACTGAACCCACATGCCCCAGGGCTAGCAGGTCGCAGCTACTGAGCTTGCATGCTCCTGAGCCCATGAACCCAGAGCCTGTGCTCTGCAACAAGAGGCACCACCACAGTGAGAAGCCTGTTCACTGCAACTTGAGAGTAGGCCCCTCTCTCCGCAGCTAGAGAAAGCCTGGGTGCAGCAACGAAGACCCAGCGCAAATAAAAATTGTTGTTCAGTCGCTCAGTTGTGTCCAGCTGTTTGTGAACCCATGGACGCCAGTCTTTCTGATCCTTCACCATCTCCTGGAGTTTGCTCAAGCTCATGTCCATTGAGTCAATGATGCCATCCAACCATCTCATCCCCTTCTCCTCCTGCCCTCAACCTTCCCCAGCATCAGGGTCTCTTCCAATGAGGTGGATGTTCGCATCAAGTGGCCAATTTATTGGAGCTTCAGCTTCAGCAACAGGATAAACAAAAATAATATAATTTAAAAAAACCAACATCTGATGCATCAGAGATTTAAATATTAAAAAAAAATAAAGCCATGAAAGCAACTTAAGAATTTAGGAAAATTTTTGTTGTTCTTCTCGTGTTGTGTGTGGCTTGCAGGATCTCAGTTCCCCAACCAGGGAGTGAACTCGGGCCACTCCAGTGAAAACCTGGAATCCTGACCACTAGGCCACCAGGGAACACCCCAACAATGTAGGAAAACTTAGCATGGGGAAATCCTTTCTAAGCAAGATGTAAAACCCAGAAACTGTTAAGGAAAAGAAAATAGAGTTGACCTCAGAAAGATTAACAGTTGCCCCATCTTATTCAGAGCTTGAACCAAAAAGCTGGTGGCCTCGCAGTACCCATATGGCATTTGGGGACCTAGCTGCCCCTCCCCCCACCTCTGACCTCCTCCCTGTATTTGTCAGGACAAGCCCCTTTCTGCAGTGGTGACGGATAAACCCTGACATCACATGCAGTGGGGACTTACTCCCACTCACGCCAAGCCCAGTGAGAGGCAGGCAGAGGCCACTCCCCATGGTGGCTCAGGGATGCAGTCCATCCTGGACATGGGCCATCATCCTTGAGTTTGTCCAGGGACAGCTCATCTCCTCGGTACTGCGTCCCTGTCCCCAACAGCCAAGTCTTGCGGCAGCAGAATCAAGGCACAGGTGAGGGACGTGCCCTGCCACCGACACACCTGATGCCTGTCCTCACTCAGTTTCCTGAGTGGAACTCAGATTTTCTCTATTTCGCTTCCGAACACAGAGAATCTCCCACTTGCTTATCTGTCCGTGGGTCAGCAGAGAGCGGTTCTGAAACCAGGTGACCAGGTCTCAGGGAGCTGAGCGCCACCCCTACCCCTGCCCACTGACCACCAGGGACCCTGCCCCTCCTCCAGGCTTCTCCCACACCGTCTATACAGCGTGGATCCCCCAGACACCTCTGCAGTGTCAACACAGACCCAGCACTCACACACACTTGCACACACATGCATGCCTACACACGCCAATGCCCGAGGTGGTGCAAGCGTGGCAACATCCTCTCTGAGAAGCACTGGCAGGGACAGGGCTGCTGAGCAGGGCTCAAGGTTTACCTGTCAGTGGGCGGCTCCTGACCCAGGACTTCAGGAAACTGGGCAGGTGCCTCACCTTGCCCTCGGGGCCGCCCCACCCACGGCTGGGCCAGGGCCACCTTCCCCACCAGGCCCTGGAGGCCGGCCCAGGATTCTTCTTGGAGCCCATGAACATATTTTAATTTTTCTTAAAATCAGAAGGAAACATGAGCACAGTGTCCCTTGATTTCCGGGGTGGGGAAGCGGCTCCAGGCGCCCCTGTGACGCCCTGATCCAGCACATCCAGGGGACACCTGGGCTCCGCAGCCACGGGTTTCAAGTCCTCAGATTCTCCCATGGGCGGCTCGAACCAGCCACGGTCAGTTGAATCTGTGGATGTGAGACCTGCGGCCACCAGAGGCTGACTGTCCCAGTGCTGAGTGTATAGTGAATCCAGACTGCATCACGTGCACTTTTATGCCTCCAGCTGTGAAACATCCTCGCTCACATTGTCTGATGGAGAAGACAGCCTCCACCTGGGGCTTCCCAGGTGGCACTAGTGGTAAAGAACCTGCCTGGCAATGCAGAAAACGTAAGAGACGCAGGTTCAATCCCTGGGTGGGGAAGATCCCCTGGAGGAGGGCATGGCCACCCACTCCAGTAATTCTTGCCTGGAGAATCCCCATGGACAGAGGAGCCTGGCAGCGACAGTCCACGGGGTCGCAGAGTCGGACACGCCTGTGATGACTTAGCATACACATGAGGCCGGAAGCGGGGAGAACTCCCCTTTCACTCCATAGATATTGTGGGGTGTCTGCCCTGCGGCAGGTGCTGGCCTTGGCCCCGGCGGGGACAGAGCCGTGGGCCAAGCACACAGCCCCCTCCCCCGTGTGTGCGGGAGCTATGCCCCCCACCCCGGGCCTTGTGCTGAGCCCCACACAGGGTGATGGGTGGGGGGTGGAAAGACAGAAGGCGCTGGAAGGCCCGGGAGCAGCTGTCCCTGGCAGCCACCTCCCTCCACAGCAGGCTGGCTGTCCTCAGGTTCCCACGGGCGGTCGAGCAGGGGGACAGTCAACGACATCTAATCACCCCTGTGGCTATCTGGTTTCCTCCCTGAAATGGGAAGAGATGGTGCCGCAAAGCTCTCTTGTTTTGTGTCCCCTGCCTTCTAATCGTGCCTTTGGTGGCTTGTCTTCCGTCGATGCCCAGCTCATCCCTCTCCCAGAGGACCCTCCCCCGCAGGCACTGGTGTCTCCTCAGACCTGGGCCCTGGCTGGGTCCCCAAGTCCTTGGCGCGTCCCAGCTGTCCTGCACCCCCACACTGGCAGACCCACTCTGATAACCACTCGCTGGCTGTATCTTGACAGCGACCTGAGGAGATAACCTGCTTCCTCCCATTTTATCATCAGCGACAGCAAGCGGGTGAGAACCGGGGCTGTGGGAGCTCCCGGCTGGACTCGTGGCCGCTGCTCAGGGAGCACCCCTCCCTCCTCTGGGCTGCACCTTCTGAAACTGTAAGAGCTTGTGGCTCAGCTGGGAAAGAATCTGCCTGCAATGTGGGAGACCTGGGTTCGATCCCTGGGTTGGGAAGATCCTCTGGAGAAGGAAAGGCTACCCATTCCAGTATTCTGGCCAGGAGAATTCCATGGGCTGTATAGGCCATGGGGTCACAAAGAGTCGGACATGACTGAGCGACTTTTACTTTCAGATCAGTCTAAGCTCTTTCCCCAGCTCTGACAGCCTGGATTTTCATTCTACATAAAATAAAGGATAAGCCTATTGACAGGGAAAAGCCAAATCAAAACACACACACACACACACACACACACACACCCCAAGGAGAGAAGATTCCAGATTAATCAGGTTTTTTGTTGTTGTCAGTGGTAAATGTCAAAGGCTTTGCAATACCAGGACTGGAGCAAACTTTCTGCAACCTGTCAAGTTTCCACAGGATGTATATACACAGCAGGATGTATTTGTACAGAAAGAGGCTTAGCGTAAGGAACTGGCTCATGTGATAATGGAGGCTGACATGTCCTGGGACCTGCAGTGGGTGAGCTGGAGACCCAGGTGAGCTGACGGCTTGACTCCTATCTGAAGGCAGGCAGCTGGGAGACTCAGGAAGAGCCGGTGTCCAGTCCAGAAGAGAGAAAGCCAGTGTCCCAGATCAAGGCCACTGGGGAGGAGGAATCCTCTCTTACTTGGGGGAGGGTCAACCTTTTTGTTCTTTTCAGGCCTTGAGCTGATTGGATGGGGCCCACCTGCTTTACTCAGCCCACCCATTCAAATGCTGCTGCTGCTGCTGCTGCTAAGTCGCTTCAGTCGTGTCTGACTCTCTGCGACCCCACAGACGGCAGCCCACCAGGCTCCCCCATCCCTGGGATTCTCCAGGCAAGAACACTGGAGTGGGGTGCCATTTCCTTCTCCCTTCAAATGTTAATCTCATCTTAAAAAAAAAAAACCACCTTCACACACTCAAAACTGTATGGTGATCAAATATGTGGGCCCCACGGCTCAGCCAAATCGACCCATAGAATTAACCATTACACCTCTTCCAAGGCAAGATGTCAGCGGACGTGGGAACTGAAGAGTCTCCTCCCGTGGCTGGGACTCCAGGGGCAGAGCTGAAAGGAGCACAGACAGGCTCGAGGCCCAGCTCGGTGACGGGCACGCACGTCTTCCTCATGGCCGCAAGGTGGCGCCCACGGACGCAACTCCGTGGGTGGAGCCGTGACTCGCCTTCATTGGCCGGAAGGGGGCTCCCGCTGGGGGCTGAGGTTGGGTTTTGCTCTCTGACTGGAACGCAGGGACTCTGAGCAGGAGTGCAGACCAGCCTTGCAAAACGGAAGGAGCAGGACTCGGCAGCCCGACAATTCCACGGGAATCTGGAGCCTTCTAAGGGAGCAGCTGGAGGGTTCTACTTTGTGCAGCCAGGCACTCGCCTCTCTGAGGCTCCCAGAAAGAGCCCAGAGGCGACTGTGCCCTCGTGTCTCACTCTGACACAAGGCGTTTGGGGCTGGGGCACGGAGGCTCAGTAATTTGGATACCCCAGGGCTCATAACTGGCTCCCTGTCGCTGTCAAAACAGGTCCTGGTGACTGACTGCGCTCTTAAACCCAAAGGCAAGGTCGCAGTGGGAAAGTCTGGTCGCTTCTATTTGAAGGAAGAGAAAGGACGGGTCACGGGCAGCACTCGGCACGGGGCGGAGCTTTAAAGGGACCGGCCTCTGGTTTTCTCCCGGAGGACCCGGGAGCCCGGCCGTCGCTTACTGCCAGCGGGCTGCCACTGCTTCGCTGTCCTGGGCATGGACACCACAAACGCAGGGCGCGTCCCCGGGCTCGGAGCTTAGGCCCCAAGCAGCCCCCACCTTGTGATCTGGGTTAAAGGAAAGCAGAAGTGTCAAGGTGCTCAGTTGCGTCCGACTCTTTGCAACCCCATGGACTGCAGCCCACTAGGCTCCTCTGTCCATGGGATTTCCCAGGCAAGAATACTGGAGTGGGTTGCCATTTCCTTCTCCAGGGGAACTTCCCAGTCCAGGGACCCAGCCCGGGTCTCCTGCATTTCAAGCAAATTCCTTACCATCTGAGCCATCAGGGAAGTCCAGGTAAAAGGAGGAAATTCCCAATGAAACAACCAGTATTTCTTTCCTCGTAGTAAAGCAACCCACCTAAAGCCCTAACTAAAAAAAACAATGACAAACCTCTCTACCATAAGATAAACCAGACACGGAAGAGCATAGTCAAATCCACGACTTGGTGGAAAGATCACCCCACGCCCCCTGTAACCTGGGCTGCATCCCCAGAAAGAACCATCACGTGGCTATGTGCATCTCTAGTTAATACTCTTTGGTCTTGCTTGTTAAGTGAAAATCTCTTTAATCTCCCCCACCTCCATTCCTTTCTTCCCCTCACAATTTATCTGTTGAAGAACCTGAGCCTCTTGACCTGTTTCTCACAGTGCAGTTCAACTGTTGCCCATCTTCTATACATCCTACAAATCGGCAGCCAGACCCAGAGCCTGGCTCAGGCTGAAGAACTCACAGGGCTGCAGGTCTCCAGAGGCACAGAGTATGTAGTTGTCTCTTTCTGTGACCTTAGCAGCTAAGCGCCGAAGAACTGATGCTTTTGAACTGTGAGAAGGCTACTGGAGACTATTGGAGAAGACTATTGAGTCCCTTGGACAGCAAGGAGATCCAACTAGTCCATCCTAAAGGAAATCAGTCCTGAATATTCATTGGAAGGACTGATACTGAAGCTGAATCTCCAATACTTCAGCCACCTGATGCAAAGAACTGACTCACTGGAAAAGACCCTGATGCTGGGAAAGACTGAAGGCGGACCACAGAGGATGAGATGGTTATATGACATCACTGACTCAATGGACATGAGTTTGAGTAAACTCGGAGTTGGTGATGGGCAGGGAGGCCTGGTGTGCTGCAGTCCATGGGGACGCAAAGTCAGACACGACTGAGCGACTGAACTGAGCAGGTGAAGATGCTGAATGCTTGTATCTGTTCACTTATGCAAAATGGCATTATTCTGTTATTCCTTTAGCATTAATTAGCTTGCTTATTTTCGTGGGTACTGCTCTCCAGCTTCTGTCCATTTAGGAAAGGCAGGATAGATTCAGCTTCTGTTTTACTTACAAGCTTTCAAAACTGTTCATTATCATCCTCCAAAGGGGGTCAATTCTATACAAAAATTACTTAGAATTATGAGTTCATGGATTTTAACACAGTCAGTGGGTTGGAAGTTGATTGTAACCTAAGTGTTCCCTTCTATTTGTTGGCTGCACCAGGTCTTAGCTGTGATATGCAGGGCCGTTTTTAGGTGCGGCATAGGAACTCTTAGTTGCAGCACATGGGATCTAATTCCCTGACCAAGGATGGAGCCTGGGCCCCTTGGGTTGGGAGCACAGGCTCTCAGCCAGTGAACCACCAGGGAAGTCCCCCAAAGTGTTGCCTTCCTGACCAGTGAAAGCCTCGTCAGCTCCTGAGCCCGTGTGCTATGACCCTAGCATCTTTGATCACTTCTCTCCTCTTTGATGAGACAAGATATCCCTGGCTCATCTTGTAAATTTCCTGTACCAGACCTAGAACCAGCCATTTCTCCAAGAATGGCTTGCTTCTTTAGTGAGGAAAAGTATTGAAAGACCACAATCCAGGTGCTAGGGATTCTCAATGTTTATGGGTTGCTCATGATTTCATGCTTATGTATATTTTCCCCACTATCTGAAAGTACAGTGGTCCTATGAAACCCTTTGTAAGTCAAAATGGCATTAAGGGAAGAAGCAATTACCTTAGGGGATGTTTTGGAAACAGATGCACAGAATAAACTGAGATAAAGCACAGACACTCAGACACAGTTCACAGCTATGGCGGCTGCACGGTGAGACGCTAAGTGTGGTTTCTGGGGGAGCTTGGTGGGGGGACCTCTCTCACTCCTCAGGTGCACTGCAAAACCAGCCCTGAACGCTATTTTCACTCTGCCTTTTTTCACACAAGCAAAAGTCCTCTTCGGATTTCTGTTACTGAAAATGGGTGTTAATGTAGGTCTTTCACGAAAGCAAAATGGTGTAAGGTGAATTTTGGAAAACCCGTGCGTGCTCAGTCACTTCAGTTGTGTCCAACTCTGTGACCCCATGGGCTGTAGCCCACCAGCCTCTTCCGTTCATGGAGATTCTCCAGGAAAGAATCCTGGAGTGGGTTGCCATGCCCTCCTCCAGGGGATCTTCCCGACCCAGGGATCGAACCCAGGTCTCCTGCACTGCAGGCGGATTCTTTACCACTGAGACAATGGGGAAGCCCCTGGAATGTGCGTACACATTATATATACACACTATATACTTATTCACACATATGTAACATCAACACGGATCAATACATGTTACAACTTGGTGGCCTGATAGAAAAGCCCGCCGCCCACTGTTAGGATGCCCATTTCTCAGAGGCTCTGAGGATAGGGACGGGCGGCAGGGGACAGGTGCTGCCAGCCTCACCTGCTTTTCATGTTGCTCCGGCTGCCACTGAGAGAAGCTGCCGCTACATTAACGGCTTGTAAAGTGGGCCCAGGAGACAGCAGAGCAGGACGGAATCCAATGCAAAAGTCTTCCCTCCCTTCAGGGACGGGCTGGCTGAGTCAGCAGTACTCACTGCAGGTGCTGGTAACTGGAGCCTGTCTTCAATGCCAGGGGGAGGGGAAGGGCAGGCTCACAACCCAGGCCGGGCCGCGGGCGTGTGGGCACCTGCAGGCCTTACTTGCCCCGCCGAGGCCTGGTCACTCCCTGTGGGCACTCCCACCAAGAGCGGGGCCCCCGGCTCCTGATGGGGAGGCACTGCTCCTGTACCTGGGTCACCCCCGCCCCCACCCTGCAGGCCCAAACACAGGAGCTGGGGACAAAACAGCCCAGGTTTCTGAAGGTCCATACTGGCCACCTGATCAAAGGACCCATTTTGTTACTAAAGAAATCTCCCAGTTTCTCCCAAGGCCTTTTTAAACTTCATCACAGATGATTAGTGAAAATGCAAAGTATCATATGTGTCTTCTTGCTTGTCAACTACATAAACATTTTTGTACAATGAGAAATACTGATTTGACATTCCATGTTAAACTATCATCATGTTCAGTTGCATTATGTGTAATGTAGCCCTAATCCATCTGATCATGTGTTCTGGGGAGTGTTCTTTAGTCAACAGTTTTAATTTAGTATATATGTAAAAGAGAAACATGGTTATCGAGTGTCCCGCCTGAGTCCTGTTTTACTTCCTGGAGTCTGAGGAAAACTGCAGCCTGTTCTCTGTTGGGGCGGGGGGCACAGGCCGCTGAGCTCTATGTACTGAGCCTCGATCCACACCAGCCTCTGGCTCCAGCATCTCCCCTTCCTCTAATCTCTAGTGTCTTAAGAACTTCATACTCTTCGAAGGAGGCTGCCATTCACAATAAGACTTTTTTTTTTAAACAGTTCACATTTATTATTGATAATAATAAAAAAATCTTTTAAAGACTATCAGTATTGTATTACCAAGAGTGAGGTAATATGTTTACAAAACATTTACAGAATTGGATACGTAAATAATGAAATTAGGAAAGAAGGTGAATTAAGACACTAGTAACAGAGGGGAAACCAGAAGGACCGTCAGTGCTGGAAAAAGGTGGAAATGACAGCAGCATCTGAAAACAGGGAGCAGGGCCCTGAAGTCGGGATGGGATCAACCCCGTGACCCCGTCTACCCGCCCCACGGCCCCTCCCGAGGAACCCTGGAAGGTGTGTGTAGGGATGTGCTTTGACTCTTAAAGATGCAGTCAACTCTGGGGGTAAAATAGTGCCACTTCTGAGTCAACTTAGAAAGAACTGGTCTTCAGTCTGGGGGAGGGGGTGGCTGCAATTCAAACAGTCCTACAAACATCCCTGGGCTGAGGTGGGCTGTCGAATGAAGCATGTTCTTGGCAGCTGTCAGCAAAATCGCCATCTGAGACACAGAGAGAGAGAGAGAGAAAGAGAGAGGGGACCATCTTCAGGTCCTTAGAATCTGGAAACAGGAAGCACTGACAGGAAGCAGCGTGGATCCACTAACTAGCCCTCCTGTGCTTTCTGGAAAGAAGCCTCTAGGTGCCAAGGGGTGGCCGTGCTCCACACAGGCCCACGGCCCTGGGAGAGGTGGGAGAGTCTCAGCACAAAGCACCCATGGAGCCGAGGATGGCGGAGTCCGGCTACGCCCATCCCATCCCTCCTGACCCTGCCCCTCGGGCACACCCACCTAATGCTTCCAGGGCAGATTCATACAATGCAACTCGGGATGTCTGAGGCCATCTCATGCTGAAGATGGCGCCTGGCTCCTGGCCCAGATTCTTAAAAAGCACAGCCTCTGCCACACACACTATCACGTGACACGTCTTCATTCATCGTGGAGACTGACCCAAAGCAGCAACTGGACAGACTCACAAAAAACCTGCTTTTCCCATAAAAAGCTGAGAAAATGATGGGCCAATAAAAAGGTAGACCAGGCTTGGTGATCAGAATCAAAGAGAAAAAACTAAATGCAAACCAACTTCATACTCTGATCTGCTTTGATGACATCGAATCCTTTGCTACTTGAACTAAGTTTCTACTCACCCCATCCCCCACTGCCACACACCCACCCCCAGACACACATGTTTGCGTGCACACACAACTTCCTTTCACAAAGAAGCTGGGCTCCCCAGGCGGTCCTGACACAGCCACGTGGGGAGAACGCTGGTCAGCTACAGTGAACGTGGGACAGTTTCAAAGTGGCGAGTGGGCCTCACTATCCCTGAGACACCAGGCTGTGAGTGGCCCAGGGAGGCGAGTGGAGAAGGAGCTCAGAAGTAACCCATGCAGGGAGGAGAACGGCACACCAGAAGAGGGAGGGGACGACCTTGGCCCATGTTCACGGACAGAGGGTCTGCTCTCAAAGTACCAAAAGGTTTGAAGGGAGGAGAGAGAAAATAATGTTTAATGATGGCGGTGTTCTTCCTGGCGTCATGGGGGGTCCCCGAGAGCCCGCAGCACCCACTTTACAACAGCGGGTCTGTTTGGTCCCAGAGCTGGGTCGGGACACCCACAGGCTCCCTCTGAATCCTTCCGGCAGGCAGCGACTGCTCAGAGGAACAGGAACCTGGAGGGTGGTCACCGTCCTCAGAAGGCGGCGGGGGCCAGCTGCGGGCGGGGGACCGGCTGGCAGCTTCTGCTCCATGGAGGAAGGCGGGTCACCTCGGACGGGTGGAGGAGGGACTTCATCCACTAAGGGACAGTGAGGAGGTGGCTGGAATCGTTTTTTTTTGCATCCACGTTTGAGACAAAGTCAACCTCTTAATTGGTATATAAACTACTTTTCTTTGAAGAGAGCCCTTGTGCTCTGACTGGATTTTGTGCACACTGTATCAAAATCTATGGCTCTTCAGTGAGAGTTACAACTACCTGTCGAGAAGCCTCGGGGTCAGTGACTATGTTTACCATCTGCAGAGCTATCTGCTACCTAGAGGGCCAGAGCAGTTCACGCAACGTGGCCGCTTGGCGGCGGGCGGGCGGCGGTCCGAGGTGGTGGGCCGTCCCCTCCGCGCAGTGGGCACTACCTGGAGATCATGGAGCTGGAGTGGGACTGGCTGGACGAGGTGGTGGCGGCACTGAGCTGCGAAAACCCGCTGTGGCTGGACTCCAAGCTGGTCATGGAGCCTCTGTAAGCAGCACGGGGAGGGGAGGCGTGAGGGCCCACGGTGGCCGCCCACTGCCTCCCGGCGGGACCCCGCCCCCTCGCGTGACGTCACGAGCTGCCCCGGCCCGGAACCCGGCCTCCCGTACCTGAAGTCCTCGGAGCCGATCACCTCGGTGTAGTACATCACTTTGCACTTGTGGGAGGAGACCTGCAGGGAGGCCAGCACGTCATCCACGCGGGGCAGGCTGGTGGCGGCGCAGGCTGGCGTGCTATGGAATTTCCACTGCAGGATGTAGAAGCCCGGCCACCGAGTCACGTGGGAGCCCTGGAGCAAGTCAGGGGGCACAGCTGAGGACCACCTGCTTCCTGGGAGCCCCCAAAACGGGGACAGATGCCGAGGGGACCACATCTCTGTCCACTCAGATCCAACATCAATTAACCCTCTCGATGGCGGAGGGGCCTGCTACCCTGGTTCATGATCGGGACCAGTCCAACGCTGCCTCCAGGGGTGGGCCCTGCAGCCAGGCCCCTGCCAGGAGCTGGGGAGGTCCTGGGAGGGACCCCAAGAGGCTCTTGGTCCCCAGGTCTTCACCTGCAGAGGAAGCAGGTGCCCACAGGGTGGGAGCCCCCAGGGGGGTCCTCTGCTTACCCTTGAGTGGGTAGGGTCTAAAAAGCTTTCCTAGACCAGCAAACACTCTGACGTGCTTCCAGTGACCTTACCAGCATATCCTGGGTTAAAAGGATGTCAGTCTAAAGTAGAATGACAATCTTTGAAAACTGCTTTCTCCCCTAATTCTGGAACTAAAGACCGTGTGATTCAGCCTCAAATGTTCATTATTTTTAAAACTGAATACTGTCTCTCAGTGCTTCTAACGAAAACACTGACAGGCTTATCCCTGAAAAGTGTGAAGGCAGCAAAATCATGCGTCTAATACGAAGGCCAGAAGCTCCTGAGAACTACCATTCTGAGCTCAGGCACTCAGAATAACTAGCCAATATTTTAAATGAACTGATGGAACACTGCAAAGAAATGAGAATGCTCGGTAATGACAGTTAACACTTCCGTCTGTCCTTGTTTCTCTCACTTCTGAGTGATTTTCTTGAAGGAGACGAATGCCGCTGGGTCAGAGGTCATCTTAGCAGCCGCCTGAATCCCAGCTGTGCAAGTGTACCGACTGCCCTGTCCTTCCTTCCGTTTGCTTCTGTGAAAACACCTCCAGAAATAATTCATGGCTTTAGACACAAGTCATGGATTCTGCTGAGCTGTGCGTTCTGAGAGTCACTCGGCTTCCTGAATCACCCTGACTGTAACTGAGAGGACACGCTGAACCACCCGGCCACCGCCCTAAGACTTCCTTCTCCAGACAGAAAAGCCAGACTGTGGGCACGCGCAGGGCGCCCTACCTGCACGCTCTCCCCTTCTTTGCAGATCAGCGGCGACTCCACCATGCTGTAGTCCCGGCCCAGCTGCCAGACTCTGTCTATCAGCTGCACGTTGTTCCCTCCTGGGGAAGTGATGCTGTGCGCCCCCAGGGAGTCCTTCTTAGGGGGCTGTGGCGACCGTTTGGAGTGATAGATGTTAAAGACAATGTCCCCTTTGCACACGTCAAAATCCCATGTGATCACCGAAGAGGCGTCCACGATCTGAATGAGAATCTGGAAGGAGAGGTTGGCTGCATCAGCCCGCCATGGTGAACATGAGCCTCTGAGCTGACGTCGTGGCAGCACGTCCCCGCCGCCCCCCAGCTCTCTTCTCAGCTGGGGGAGGGGGGGTCACAGCCGCGGGCCACCTCAGCCAGACTCCGCACTCGACCAAGCTCCGTGCTCTCTCAGCTCCACCTGCAGCCTGAGCGTCCCCACATACGAGTTTTAGGCACCATTCTAAGCTACCGGGTCCTGGCTGTAAGAAAGGCCTTAATACAAAACAGAAATAACACTCGACACCACAGAAGTGGTTCCGAGGGTTGCTCTGGGCTGAAGGGCACAGGGAACGTCCCAGAGTAAAGAGGTCGGGAGGGAAATAACACTCGACACCACAGAAGTGGTTCCGAGGGTTGCTCTGGGCTGAAGGGCACAGGGAACATCCCAGAGTAAAGAGGTCGGGAGGGACGGAAAGGAAGCACCCTCTCGGGGAGGAGGGAGGCGAGCACAGGCTGAGGGACCTTTGCCTGCGGCCACAGGGCTGGGTGCGAAGAGGGAGCCACGTGGCCTGGGTGCGGAAGGCCCCAGGTGTCGAGTGCCAATCTAAAAGCTGAATTTCATGCAGCGCTCATACAGCTTCCCAGCAGGGAATGATCAAAGTTATAGTTTCCAAAGATTACTGTGAGAATTAAAACCAGCTGTGGAAAGTTATGTATTCACTAAAAAATCTCAGCAGAAGCCAGGCCCCGGACCCCACCCACCCTGGAAGCCGCTCACTGAGTGCTGCAGGCGATGTGTCAGCTTCTCGGCCAGCAGTCCCTGGCCCCGCCGCCGCCACTTCTCACTGCCTTGGCCCTGTAGCTACACAGACTCTCCCTGAGGGGCAGGTTCCACACGCACACGAGCCCCGTCCCACAGCGGCGGCACCGACACCACGGGTCCCACGGGCCGAGCTCCTTGGGACGCCGGCCCCTCACGTTCACTGCAGGGACGAGGCACTTAGTCCTCGTTTCACAAGACCCCCGTCCTCGATGTGTGCCCTACTGAACCCCCAAAGCAGAGCCGAAGTTTTCAGTGTTCTGACGTAGAAACCCTCTCTGATAACCCTGTGACCCACAAGAACACATCACACACGGAGCTCCCTATCTGGGACGACGCGACCATGACCTAAGGGAAGAAAAGAACTCGGCCTCTTTGAGCCTACTGGCCTCCAAGTAAGAAATTAATACAAGTAATCCTTGAGACGCAGCTGTCTCCCCCCAAAGAGGCTGTGGGTAAGGCACCTCAAGCCTGTCTCTGCTCATTCAAACCTCAGCATCATGTCCACTCACCTCAGGAGGCGCGGGCGGCGGTGAGGGAAACACTCCCGCCAGGAGGATGGAAGAGCAGCGCAGGGTCAGCCTGGCCAGCATCAGCCTGGCCGGCAGCTCCACTCCAGGGCTCAATCCCATGACCCTGAGCCACAAACCTCAGCCCGGAGCCCAGGACGGGCTAAGCCCACTCAGGGCACTCAGCCCACTTAGTGCAGAGATGCTCATGAAACCAGAGAGCACACATGTGTGAAAACAGGCGCACTCTTGCTCACGCACCACCACAGGACAGCAGGGAGAGAAAACACACGCGCGTGTTTTTCCTCACTCCACCAGACTAGAAAGACGGGCAAACTCCTTAAAAAATAACAAATAACCAAACCCAGCCAAGAAAAAACAGAAGATGTAATTGGTCCTGCTGACCGAAAACATTAAATTGAGGAGTTACAAACCTCCCCCCGGGGGGAGACCTGCGAGGCGCGTCCATGTCAAGGGTCTCAGGTGAAGCGGATGTGGAGATGCCTGCCTACTCTCCTCCTGGGGCCCTGACCAAGGGCAGCCAAGGTCTGCTCTCTAAGAGCCTGCTCGCCAACATCGACAGCTACCTTAACTGCAGACCAAGCGTCAACATGAACCTAAAGACCAAGTCGGGAAAAAGCATCTGATTCTCCTCAACGACCCCCTACTGGGAGACCCACAGAAGAACCCCTATGGGGAGGGGAGACCCGGGTCCCGTGGCTTCGGCCTGGCGCCTACCTCGTGCGGGGCCCCTTTGAAAACGCTGGCGGACTGGTAGATGGTCTCGGTCCAGAGCTTGAGGTCTTCGTTCTCCAGCTCCTCCGCGGTCCTGTACAGGGCCTTGGGCACCAGGCCCCCCTCCGGCACCTCACACTGGAAACGCAAGCACGGTCACTGAGAGCAGTGCCCGTGGAGGCCGATCCCGAGAGCCACAGGCCGACCTGACACGCACGACTCTGTGGAGCCGCTTAGGAAATGGGAAACACCGGTCGTGTCATAAAATACCCTGCACTACTTAGGCAAAATAATTGAGAAAAACCACTTAAACACATGTGTCTCGCTTTAAGGAAACGAGAACAAGCTGAAGCTTATTTGCCACAACATCACAGTAGTACGTGTGTGGGACAGCATCCAGTTACTGAAGCTGGTTTGTTTAAGAATCATCGGGTATTTATATTGTGCTGCAAAGGAAAAACGTTATGTGAAATTTTATTTATTTTTTTTATGTGAAGTTCTAGTCTCTACAGCTACAGGCATTATTTCTATCATATGCAAGTATGGGCAAGATATATAATTAAGGGAGAAAGTTTAGTGTCTACCCCAGGTCAAATGATCAGTCCACAACACCAGCCAAAAAACCAATAAAGAGTGGCAACTTTTGAATTTGCTTGAAACAGGCTGAATTAAAATTTGCACATTCATGAATGTCCTAACTGACCCGAATATAATGACTTAATATAATGACTTAACCGAATATAATGAATATAATGACTTAACCCTCGAGTTCTTAAAATCCAAGCGCTTCCTGTGTTATCTGCCCTGGGAGGTGACCACACAGGGAAGAAGCGTGGCCGGCTCCAGCAGGCAGGGCAGCAGGACACGGGGAGGCCGCTGCAGTGACAGCAAGCCGGACAGAGCAGACAGAGGCGAGCGATGCCTCTTGATGCCAGCACGACGGTGGCACAGGGGAGCCGAGCCGAAGCCTTGGCCGAAACCTCTCAGCCTGAGTGGGGAGATCTCTGCTCTTAATGGGGGGAGACCTCTGCTCTTAACAGGGGAGATCTCTGCTCTTACGGGGGGAGACCTCTGCTCTTAATGGGGGGAGATCTCTGCTCTTAACAGGGGGGAGACCTCTGCTCTTACAGGGGGAGAGCTCTGCTCTTATGGGGGAAGACCTCTGCTCTTAACGGGGGGAGACCTCTGTTCTTAAATGGCACAGGGGAGTGGAGTCTCTGCCCACTCCAGCCCCGCTGCTTTCATCGCAAGTGGAAGGAGCAACCTCACGGAGTCGTGCTCTGATACACTGTGTCTGTGTATCTCCACAGATTTGACCCCAAGCTTTAACGTCAGGGGTGCTGGGTGGGTGTCCCCTGGCTCACTAGCTCCCAGAACTGCACTGTGGTTCCATCTGCGATTCCTCAGAGAGGGACTGAAGTCCTGAGAACTGAGTTCAGCTCTAAACTCCTCTAAGAATCCCCCAAGATCGCCCCAAGTTCCCATTGGCAGCTGAACACGTGAGCCTGCCAGGGTGGCCGCACCTCCACTTCTCACAGGCTTATTTACTGTGAAGGGGAGTGGACTCCCTGCTGGCGTCACCTGCTGCGTCAGCAAGGCAAGTGGACTGCTCCAGGCTTCTGTTTCCGGGGCCAGACGGTCTTCAAGGAGCTAGGCTTGTCTGGCTCATCACACGCCCCCCCATCACGGTGCAGGGGCAGCAGTGGAGCCATCTGCCTGCTAGCCCAGCCACGCAGTGCGCTTCGACCCTGTATGCCCTAAGAGGACGAGCTCCCTTGACCACCCCTTTTAAGATGTGTTCCTGACACTGTCAACGGGCAACCTCTTTGGAGAATCAATCTGATTTTTTAACGTTTTAAAGACATGCCCAGCTGCTCTAAAACAGTTACAGAATCTAATTCACGCAAAGCTGACGCATAAAGGAAGCTGCAATCACACTGATTCTAAAACCAGCTCCCATTAGCACTTAACAATGAAGAATGTGTATGTTGTCAAAGATTACCTAAATGGTCTGTTTAGTTTAACCCAGGATCAGACAGATGGCACGCCCGCGCCGCCTGCGCGCGCACGTACCATGCACTCGCCGCTCAGGAAGTCCGGGATGACCTCTCTGTCGATGTAGTCCAGTAGGCCCCCAGGCCCCTGGTAGTCATTCCCCGCGTAGATGAGGAACTTCCTTCTGGTGTTGTCGTCGATGAACGGGCTCACCTGTGAGCGATGAGGAGAGACCATGCAGTCACACTCGCTCTGCTGGCTGCACTTCAAGGGTGGGGATTACACGCAGATACTGGGGGGTGGGGGGATTCAAGTTTGACGCGCTCCTGCTGTGAAGTCCGAAGTGTATGACATGAGGGCACGCAAGAACACTTTCTTCCCGTAAATAATCTGAGACACTCTGATCTCTCCACACTCGTCTTGTTTCTTGTTAACTAGTTACACGACGTGGAGTCACAGACACACACAGTGAAATGAACACGAGTGTGCACGCCTTCCGGGCAGTGACCCGCCGCAGAGACCCACCAGCGTCCAGAGCACGGGGAACACCCGGGGGGCGCGCAGGATCAGCAGGCGGCCCAGCGTCTCAGGGTAGTTGGCCTCCACCACCTCGATGATGCGCAGCAGTGCCTTCACGCCCGGCCTCCACAGGTGCCGCATGTTCAGCCCCTCCAGGTCCACCAGGCAGGTCCAGGAGCTGCAGGCGAGACGAGCTCCGTTCAGCGCGTGCACGCTCAGCAAACCATGGCCCAGAGTGACTGGCTTTCCTTTTCTATGTTCTATACGGTTACTAGTGTCCATTTCCAAAAACACACTGGGTTTTAAAAATTACAGGGTAATGAACTCTACTGCTATCTGCCTGTATTAAGACATGGGCTGCGTGCAGTAGGACCAATCCCCAAAATACCAAAGCCACCAAGGGCTAAGGACCCGGATCGAAGGTGCGGCCGTCCATCAAGGGAGGCCACCTGCTGCCCTGGGCCTGCTGAGCCCCTCTACTGACCCAGCGCGGCGTGTACGGCGTTTAAATACACGTGTGGCTGGGTGGCAGCACCGCAGTCTTTGACAAACGTTACCGAGCCAAGCACTACGGCAGGGGCCAGGAACACAGGAGTGAACAACAGCCCTCAGAGGCCCTGCCCTCCTGGGACCTATGTGCTGGTCAGACCCTTCCCAGGGCCCACCTCTGAACCACTGCACAGCTTCAGAACAGTCCACCATAACTGCAAGTTTGGTTTAAGAGCAGAGAATCATTTTTTTCTGTCCCACCTCCTCAGCATCCCCCCTAAAAAAGAGCAAAAACCAAGCACTTGTGACCCCAGACTCCCAAGGACCATGAAACCACCACAGGCCGACCCAGGCAGATGGAGAGGACAGCAAGGCCTGCGGTAGGAACACCAAAGCCCAGCAGCCGCCCCTCACAGCTGACTACAGCACCCATCCCACGTGTTTATCTGTCCCACCTCCTAGGGCATCATGGAAAACAGTAACTACTTAGACTTGGTCCTAAAAACCAAAGCCGATTCTGGCTTTTTATTTAAAAATCAACTAGAAATACGCGACTCCTATTCCCAACAAGCTGGAGGGAGAACGGGCTCACACAGCTACCTGATAGGCCGGCCAAAGACCTTTGTGTTCTCTTCACACCGTCGCAGCCCTTCTTCGTTGATGGAAAGAACCTGTGTACAAGAGCCAGAGACGGTCCCCATCAGCCTAAGGGGCTGACACAGCTGCATCTGGCTGCGTGGGTGATGGCAGCACCGTGTGCCTCAGGGAGGCGTGTAAGCCAAACGTCATCTACGGCCTGACACAGTCGTATGCACAAAACGGATCACAGAAGAAGCAGCTTGCTCTAAGGCATGAGTGCTGTCCTCTGTGGTCCAGGGGACAGCTCCCCGAGATGACGGGGGAGACCGGGCAGGCGGGGAGGGCGCAAGCTGCTGACCCACACCCAGAGCGAGCGCGTCTGGAGGCGTCAGAGGCGAGTGCTGGCTGAGCAGCTACACTGCGAGGCCTCACGCACCAGCTAAGAGAAAGGGCAGTGTGACAGCCGACCTCAAGCCTAGTTCAAGGGACCTTCGAGCTGGAGTAACAAGCCCTTCCCCAACAGACGCAGTTCACCCAGAGACCTGTGTGCGCGCGTGTGGAAGCGTCCACGGAAGCACACGCACAGTGGTGGGCACCACAGAAGAGGCAACAAAATGCCCACAGTGGGTAATTCAGGATGGTCTTCTCCGTGTGCCTTTTAAGGCTTCTGCTTGCTTGTTTCTACTTTAAGGTTAATGTTCTTCTCTTCGTGACTGCCCACGCTGTGCACACTGCCCGGGAGGGGTGGGGAGACAGGGAAGGAGGCACTTACAGCCCTGACAAAGGACGCTCGGAGCCAGGACCACGCTGTGCTGGTGCAGACAGCACCGCCGAGAGGTCTGACCTGAGGGGGCCCCAGAGCAGAGCGAGGGTGGGGTGGCGGGACCCGAATCGGCCTGGGGTGGGGGACGGCACCTAGCCCGCACCCCCGCGGCACCTTGCGCGGCTGTGCCCATGCTTCCCCACCACGGAAAACATTTTCTTAATTTTGGGGCCCTCTTCTGAATTTTGTAAAGTTTATGAACAGATCCTCCTTGCTAATTATGAAAGCGATACATGCTACAGCGATAGGAACGCGGTCCTCTCCCACCCCCGCGGACAGAGAAGTGAAGCCAGCAGGCGGCACTCACATATCTCAGTAGGGCCTCCTCACCGAGGGCTCTCACCAGACCTTTGGTGTCCATCTGCCCCAGCCGGAGCACGTAGAGGGGCCGGCCGTCTGCAGGGGAAGGACAGGCGCCGTCAGCCCTGCTCCTGACCCGAACTGGGGGATGGGCGCCCTACGGGCCAATGGGGCCCCAGGCACTCTCCTGCTCTGGGAAGCAGCAGCTGGCTTTGGCGGTGCCTACAGGAGGCCCACCCGGTCTTCTCCCCCCAGAATTGTAAAAGGAGAAAACAGAAGCCAATGGATGGAGCAGGTCATTAGCAGGGCCCCGGAGACGCCCCGCCCAGGGTGAGGGGAGCCCTGCAGAGCTCGGCCCCTGGCTCTGTCCCGTGTGCTGACCACATCCACTGCAGGGCTCGGGGCAGCAACCACCCCGCCTGCCACCAAAGCTGAGCCAGGAAGCCTGTCCTGCCAGGTGTCGTGTGCAGAGCGGTCTGATCGATGGCCCCACCCCGGATCCTTCATTCAGGGATGCTGCTATCGGTTTATGTTTTGTTCACTCCCCAGGGAGAGCTGAAAATTCTCCTGTTGTGATGCACAAAACCTGGCTACACGTTGTTACAGATACTGGGTTACGTCACTGCAAAGTACCTTTACTAGCACTCTGCTCCTGAAAAAACTGCCTTCAGAGTCTTTTAAAATAAGTCAAACAAACTCCACCTGATTAAGGAATGAAGGGGAGCAAGCTGCCGGGCGGAGGGAGCGAGTGGCCAGGAAGCAGTGGCCTCGGGCCCTCTCTACTCGGAGGGGCACCCCCAAGGCAGCGGCGATAAAACAGGCGCCCACTCGTTCAGGCGGGGAGGGGGAAGGACAGCACACCCAAGGGCCCTGCTTGTCTCAGCGCGGGTCCCGATGCCAGGCTCCTGGCTACCTTTGTCGTGATGGTGCCAACCGCCCGCGTAGTAGTCCTGCAGGACCTGGGGGGGGCGCCAGGTGTCGAGGATGTAGTCCACCTGGTGCTGCTTGCGCCAAGTCAGAGACTGACACATGGTCTCTCTGGCCTTGTCGATGTGGAAGTCCCGCGCGCGCAAGAACCGAAGAATGTGCTCATCTTTCGGGATCTATTGAGAGGAGATGTTTCTAAGCAATGTGAAAAGTTGCTAAGGGGAAAAAGCAAGTTACCAAGGGAATAAGACTCCAAAAAGTCTCACTTCTTACCGACAGCGAGTTGCATTATTACACTATTTAAAATTAGTAACTACCAGAAATACCTTCCTTAATGCTTATCTGCATTATTAGTCTGAATAATCTTTACACTATTCCCGTTTTAGTTTCAGCAAAGGAGAGTGAAGGCGTAAGTAACTTCTTAAACACCAGCTGCTCTGGATTCACTGAGCTAACCTACCAGCTTCTATGATCTGTGCACTTTCCGATATATATATTACACGCAAACAGAAATGCAGAATACAGAGCACAACTGTTGGTTCTGAGAGTACTGCTGGTGCCCTGACATGCCGGAACCTTCTCCAGGTTCCACTCCTGACAGCTGACAAGTCTGACAGGATTCCCTGAGTCAAAAAGAAGGCCAGGACCATGTCTGGGTCTCCCGCTGCCCTCGTCCCTGGCCACGTGCCCATGCTGCTGGTGCACAGATGAGGGGGGGGGTGCAGTTGGCACCCCTGACTGCCCGCCTCCTGGGAAAATAAATCACTGAGATGGCATGGTCTCCTCTCAGAAAGGACCACCATTACATGGGAGTGGCTGGGAATGTCAAAGCCCGACCCCGGCAGTCACTAGACGTTAAGGTACCCAGCAAGTTACCGATCTTCTGTGTGTGCACAACAGGGGTGATAAAAGTAGCACCAGCTCATAGGGCTGTTGGGAGGATTTAATAAAGATCTCAAACCAGAGTCTAATGCATGGTCAGTGCTCAGCAGTGGCAGCTCTGACCACAGGGGGCATGTTCTTGTGAACAGATACAACGGTCCTTGGATATTGGACACTGGTGACCAAGACCGACAGAATTAGAGAGCAGGCCAGCGCAGGAAGCCAGGAACTACCCAGACACACAGATGTGCCTCTGTCCCACATTGGTCCCCTGTGAGATCACAAAAAATTTAATTCCTTATGAGGCTACTTACCAAAAACCTCAAAATCAAAACCCAGGTAATTTTTTTAAAGATTTTTTTTTGTTATGTGGACCTTTTTTTTAAGTATTGCATTTGTAATAATACTGCTTCTGTTTTATATTTTGGTTTTTTGGCCACAAGGCACCTGAGATCTTAGCTCCCTGACCAGTGACGAACCTACACCAGAAGGTGAAGTCTTAACCTTAAACTGGACTACCAGGGAAGTCCCAAAGCCCAAACAGTTCTAATCTCTGAATAACCTGTGAACTACTTCCAAACCTTCTGAAAAGTAAAATGAATGAACATTTGAAATACAATATTGCTTTGTAACTTGATACGTAATTGTTTTTAAGACCATTCTCTGTAACATCTACAAATACACAGCTAATTATACACAGCAGGGCATCCTAATTTGCTACAAAGGACTCAGATGCTGAACATGGGGTCACAGATCCAGTGACTTTTTGACTGGAGGGACATTCCCACCTACGGCCATCGGGCACATTGACTGTGAGTCACTCGGAACAGGACCAGGCATCCGAGGTTGAACAGCGGCGCCCCTGCACATGTGCGTGGATGCATGCGTGCACGGATGCACACTCGGACAGATGCTCACTTTGCCCTTGTGGGTCTCCTGGAGCCACTGGCGAAGCCGGATCAGGCAGCTCTCCTGCAGTGGGGTCAGGTCGCCCAGGTATCTCTTGATGTAGTCTGCGTCTAGTTTGTCTGCAATATAAATCATGGGACATTCTTAACAGTAAGAACACTGGGGCTTGAAGGCTTCCACACTGCCCCACTCGGTGATGCTCCCATGTGCTCCTGGAGACTGAGAGATAAATGAGCCACGGGGGACGGGGGACTCTAACCAGCCACCCAAGGGACCCCCAGTGACTGTCTTTAAACCCAGTCACTGCAGAGTCACACGGAAACATGCGCATTCCACAACACACCCAACGGCCACCAGGTCACCTCTATTTGCCAAGTATCAACTCTATTCATGGTATCATGGCTGTTATCAATATTTAATAATATTTAATTCAGAGGGCAAAGCTGAGCCACAGAGAAGGCAGGGAAAAATAAATGCCAATGATTCAACAGAACTTCTGAGGGAAGAATCTTCTTGTACTGTCTTACTTTAAAATGGGCATGACACTGAGCAATTAAAAAGGGTGTGTGTGTGTGTGCGTGTATGTAAGACACAAGAAAGGCGCGGGGCCTATCACCTACAGCTGTGTCTCTCCATGAAAGTCACTTGGTTCCTCTGAGCCTTAATTATTAACTCAGTTATAAAACAAAGACAAAAGCATTTCTTATCTAAAAGGGACTATTATTAAATGAGCAAACATTCACAAAATGCTCAGAATAGTGCCTGGCATCTACGAAGCCGAAAATGGGTATGCTGATGATATAACTGTGTTAACCCCTTCCTGCCCATTTTAAAAAAACTCTTTGTTTCTTCATTCTAAGAAAAAAATAAAATGAATGTGTTATGGAAGCCAGAGGCAAGGGGACAATAACAAGATCCATTTTCTGTTTGTGTCACAGCTACGTGTCCCAAGAGGCAAGGGTTCCAGGTCAGCCTGGAGTCTTGCCCTCAGAACGAGGCCCCTCGCAGACTCACCGTCCGGGGTCCCTGCGGTGGGCTCGGGTGCCCCGCTCGGGGTGCTGAGGGGCTCGCTGCTCAGCCCTTCCTTGAGCGCGGGGTCGGGCACGACAACGGTCAGTGATGCTGCTGGTTTCTTGCAGGATAAGGACGTCTCCAAAGAGGGGGCGGTGGCAGGTGGAGTCCAGCGGGGCACAAACGTGATGCCTTCTTCCTCTAACTGACGAAGGTAGTACTCAATGATTTCCTTGCCCTTGGGAGCAAAGCCAGTTTTAAGGTTAGTACTATCATACTGAGCTTTGAAGTTACTGACTCCTCATGGGCTTTGAAAACCATGATGAAAACTGAGTGACTACAGAACAAATAGGAAAAAGAAAACCCAAATGCTTTTGTGGGTCTTTCCCCATAATTTTACTTCCTCTTCTCTAGAGGGCCAGGAGATCGTGTCTCAGATGGCGTTTTTTATGCGACCAGTTACACGCACTGCCTGACCCCCTTGTACACAGGAAGCGCTGTGTCTCAGTCCAGATGCCTCCAGCAGCACTGAGGACAAGTCTTGGGAAGCACGCCCTAAGCTCCTATGATACACCTGACACCAAAGTGCCACGCTGATGAGCAGCAGCAGGAGAACAAGGAAGCTTCTTCCAGGGAAGCGCACCTTACCTCCCAAGGCCTGGGACCCGAGAGGCCTCCCCCAACGTGCTTCTCCAGGACAGCAGGGCCTCCCTCAGCGGGCCCCGGACCCCACCCCTCCCCACAGCTCCCAGCAGGGAGCGCCACAGCCGGCGGCTGCACACTCACCCCTGACCTCCACCAGTGGCCAGCGTGGTCTGTGTCCCCGACCCTCCCCTTTCACTCGCCGGGACCCCTGACTAACCCACCCCCAGGCTCCTGAAGGGACCTCCAGCTTGGACCATCTCAAGAGACCCCTGCCCACCCTTCTCCATAAAACCCCAAGGGACACTCACTTTTTTAATGTTGCTGGTATATTGTTTCATTGCAATTTTTTCTACTGTACTTTCAAAACCAAAGAAAGATTTAATATCTAAACTTGCTGACTGTTCAAAACAGGTCCAGTCTTCATTTTCAGGGTGAACCTGCAGGTAAAAGAGAAAGTATTTTATTAATTACACTGACAACTGAGAATATTATTTGCTCCTCAGTTCACTGGTACCAAGGGGAAAAAAAACACCTATTTTACTAACAATGTCATTATCACAAAAATAGCAGATGGAAAAATTAGGTTCAGAATTATGAAAAGGCTCAAATAATATTTCTAAAATATTCTAAAAATGACTATTAAAAGGAGGGCTTTCTTTTCATGCTTGGTAGTGTCATTCATTTATTCATTCATTCACCATATTTATCGAGTAGTGTTCACTACCACGAACAAAACCAATACCCCTGCACTGTGAAGGTTACAGTCTAGCAGAAGAAGACAGACAGTTGGCCATAAACATAATAGGTAAGAAGTTATGTCAATGCTGGAAGATAAGCGCCATGGAGAAAAGCAAAGTTGGTAGCAGGGTTAAAAGGACTGGAGGGCAGTTTACAGAATTAAATAGGTTGCTCAGGGCTGGCTTCATCGAGAGGGAGAGATCTGAGCGAAGCTCGTAGGAGGTAAGGATGGGCGTCGAGCAGAGGTCTGGGGGCAGAGGGAGCAGAGACCAGAGGCCCTTTGGGAAGCATGCTGACGTGATCAGAGACCGTGAGGCGGTGGGCAGGCCCGCGCACGAGGCAGGCGGGACACAGAGAAGAGTGAGAGAGGACGCAGGGCCTCGTGAGCCACTGTGAGGCTTATGGGCTTCTCCTCTGCGTGAACTGCAGACACCGCAGAGCTCTGAGCCCTGAGAAAGCGTGACGTGATCTGGCACACTTTACACGGACCACTGGATTCAGTGTCAAGGGGACATTATAGGGGGGTGAGGGCGGAAGCGAGAGACCTACCGGGTTACTCCAATACCTGCTCAGAGAAGTTCCTGCCCTGGGTGGTGAGCAGGGAAGGCGGGAGGGAGATAAACGCACTCAGATCCAATCTCAGAGGGACACACATTTCAAAAGTGTGAGCGCGGACCAGAAACGACATGGTGTACTCATACTAAAGAACAAACCAGGGCATCAGTTGGCCACCTTAACTGCCACAACAATGTAGTCCATTCTGTAAGACACACCAGCTGCCACCCTGCTGATCCCACACATCAGAAACCAGTGGCTTTGTGTGACGGAGAACTGCCCTCACAAAGACACGCACTGCCTAACTCGAGGGCCTATGGCTCTAAGAAGACCGCGCCCCCACCTCCCTCCTCCTACTCACGCTGTAGCAGCAGTGCTCGTTAATGATGACCCGATTAGAAAATGTTTCATTATGGGCCTCAATGTGCAAAGTACGTTCCCGAGAGTTCAGTGAGTTTTTCTGGATAAAATAAACGTAATCAACTCCTGCAATCTTCAAAACAGAAACAGAAAGAAAAACGGGTTAATGAATAATAACACCCAAGTGCAACAGAAACAATAAGCACAAATTCATTTTGGTTTGGGGGGGATGGCCTTTTAAGGTGTTCTTTCCAGTTACCTTTTTCAGCAGTCGAGGAGCATCTATATCCAGTTTGCAGCGCCTTTCTATAACGTGAACAGCCCCATCTTCACTCCTGAATTCATTCACGGTGTCACTGTCCACAAACATCGGAATCAAAGGACAGGTAGGGAACCTCCTCTCATAGGCCTGTGAACACGATTGTGAAAAAAAAGAAACTGAACAAAGATACAGCCTGGCAGTCTGGCACTGATGGTCTCCCTGGAATAAAGGCATCTCTTCATACACACCAACAGTTATATCACAGCTACTCTCATCTTCACACCTTAAACTTTCATTATTTGAAAAAAGAAAAAGACATTCTGTGTGCACGGATTGGAAGACTCAACACAGTAAAGATGTCAGTTCTCCCCATATGGATATAGAGGTTTAACATAATTCCTTTAAAATCTCAGCAACATTTTCTTTCACAGCTTATGGACAAGAGTACTTTAAAACTTCCACGGAACGGCGAAAGAACGAAAATAGCTAAAGCATTTTAGAAAAAGAAGACGATGTTGGGAAGCACCCCTCCCCATCTCCGTATGAACGCTCACGTTGCGGCTACAGGAATCCAGACTGTACGCAGGGATGGCAGGAAAGACACAGAGCTTGGTGGGCAGAGCGGGGCGCCATAAACCGACCCCCACAGATGTGCCCCCACTGGTGTTCCCCCAACAGAGCTGCTAAAGCAATTCAATGGAAGAAGGATGGCCTTTTCACAAATACTATACACATCCATAGGGGAAAAAAAGGAACTTGATGAACCCCATACTTATAAAAACTATCTCAAAATGGATTATGAACTTAAATATGTTTGTAAGGTATTTTTAAAAATTTATTTTTTGACTGCACCATGCAGCTTGTAGAATCTGAATTCCAGGACTGGGGATCAAACGTGAAAGGTGGGCCCTTGGTAGGGAAAGCACAGAGTCCTAACCACTAGACCACCAGGGAAGTCCCTGTAACATTCTTGAAATGACAAAATTATAGAAATGGAGAACAGATTAGTGGTTGCCAGGGGGCAAGAGGGGAGTGGGTGTGACTATAATGGGGTAACAGGAGAGGAACCCTTGGAAGATGCTCTGTCTCTTGACTGTGTTGTGTTGATATCCTGGATGTGATGCTGAACCATCATATTTGTTGCGATGCTGACATATTTGATGTGACAGTCTCTTTGGATGTAACTACTGGGGGGGGGGGAATGGGTAAAGAGCATGTCGAATTGCTCCATAATATTTCTTGGGAATAATATGCTATTAATATCCTATAAGTCTATCTATTTCAAAATACAAAAACTTAAAAGAAAGATATGCTATATAATTTGTCCAAACTTTTAGAAAATGCACATAGGCACCAGATTTAGTTTGCTCCATAGCCCTCTGAGAAAACTACTGATTTAAAGATACTGTTGAATTCACACTAGAACTGAAGCCGTCCAATGGCTCACAGGCATGGATGGGCAGGAAACCACAGGACGGGGGATGACAAGTGTCTGGCAGTGAGAAGAAACCTGAAAAATGAAGCCCAGGGCTCGCCTCTCAGTTCTGTTCCCCGTAAGTTAGGAAAGGCACTGTCAGGTGACTGACAGATGCCACTCCCCTCTCAGGCTGCAGGAGAAATAGGACAAGGGAGCTGAGACAGCCCATCTTAAAACTAATGACAACCAGGCACAGATCTGAGGAAGAAATTTATGGTGCTGAAAAGATTAATCTAAGTGTGGAAGTGGCACACGCTGCTCTGACTCTACCTCTAAAATGGTGGGAGCAGTTTCAGAGCACTATCATGCTAAACAGTCAGTCTTCCTGGAGAAGTTCCACAAGCAGTCACAAGAGACCCCATGAAACACCAGAGCAACGGAGCAGCCCCTCCACTCAGGATGCTCATGACCATCTCCTTCCAAGTGAATTGGTTTTCTGCATGTATCTCATCTTCTCTCCATCACATTATAAGTTTCCCCAGTCTGAAACACTGCTGTCCACGTTATTTACAAGGCACCAAGCCAGACAATATGCGAGGGAGGGGAAGAGGAAGCAGACAGTTCAGGAAATGGAGTCAGGGAAACACACAAGTGTCCTAAGAATAGGCAAGTGCTCTAAGGGCTCAAGGAGAAAAGAATAAACAGCTTGGAGGGATGGAGGCCTCGGAAGGCTCCAAGGGAGAAGAGGCATGAACGCTGGGCCTCAGCGTGGAAAGGTCTGTACACAGTCAGTGATGAGCGGAGAGCATTTTCAGGAAAGACAACCCAGGAGTGCAACTTTGAGAAAACCTCGGGGTGAGCAGGGACCCACAGCCAGCAGGGGAGGGAACTGGTGACCTGCGACACTGTGACTGTCACGCTCCTGCTCAGCACCGACCACGTGGCCAGGCCCCCAGGGTGGGTGCACGTGGGGGGTCCTGGTGGGGGACCAGGACCAACAGAAGGGCCTGCCTTCCTGGAGCTGCCCTCCCCGCGGGAAAGGAGGGGATGCCACCATGTGACCCGATGGTCTGGAAGGGAGGCACGACTCATGTGGTGACCAATTGTATTTGCTTTTTAAATGTTTTTACTTTGGGACTTGAAAATACATTCTTCATACTTAGCTACTCCCCTTCATTCAAATATATTCTGAAACCCATAACTGCTAGCATGGGATATAAATCACAGGAAAATTCTCTTCATGCCTTTTATAATAAACAACATTTAAGAAGTTTATTCAACTGCTGAGATCATACCTCAGATAATTCAGGCCTCAATGAGGCCCTAAAATTTGTTAGTATTAGGTACTGCACACACAAACAATTCTAGGAAAAAAATTGCTGAGTATCCTTTGTTCTACACCCTGACACTGTCTAAATTTTCCTACATTAAAAACAAAATGGCTTTGTACATTCCAGCACCATGACATGTCAAGAAACTGAGACTACAAGGGCTTCAAAAAAAAAAACAATTCTTAAATTACATAAAGGGTAGAGTAAGTCCTTAGCAAGAAACAACCTATACTCAGCTCTCTACCACTTAAGTACCTATTATATCATTTGCAAAATACCCACAACATCCTTTAAATTCCTGAAATAGAGTGGTCAGCATAAGGCATTACCCACACAGGCTAGACCTGAATTTAAAACAGAAAAAACTTTCCATTCCCTGTAAATCTATCCCTCCACATAGACTCGTATTTGCAGAGACATTCATTTTCACCTCAGTATGCCCCAACCAGATGGTATTTGAGGTACCCAGGCTAAAGAGCCACTAACACAGGAGTCGACATGCTCCCCTCCAAAGCTCTGTCCATGTGGAAAGTGCTTAGTAAGCATCTAGCCTCCTCCCTCCACTCGGCTACAGGGCAGAGACCAAGTCCTACTTCTCTTTGATTAAGAAGAAGAAGGACCTTACTCAACGTTTGAAACAGAGTCACTGTTCAATAAACATTTTTTGAAATACAGAATAAGAGCTTCCTAAATAAATCAGTGAGTCCCGCTTTTTGTTTCTGTGCTCACTTACCATGGCTTATCTTGAGGGGATATGTGAAGCTATTGAATTTTGTATACCGTTAGCAGAGAAAACTCTAACTTTCTAGAGGATTAAGGGAAAGGAAGACTGAAAGAAGCTGACAAAACTTTATAGTCTCTGAAATTGCCTAGGATATCAGCAGGATTCTTGCCTGGGAAATCCCATGGACAGAGGAGCCCAGCAGACTATGGTCCATGGGGTCGCAAAGAGTAGGACACGACTTAGTGATTAAACCACCACCACCACCACCACCCTAGTTTTCAGCACAAACTATAACCTATAAAGTTTCTGAAGCCTCTGAAAATTAGAAGCATTCTAATTCTATTAAAATATTTTATTAAAAGCATTTACGTTCTAGTTCTATCTGGAAGAGCCTAGAAGATATGACACCTCAGTTGCAATAAGCAAACTTAGCATCCAGTTCCTATTTTCCAAATACCACTCCCTACTAAAAAGGAAGCTGTGCTCCCTGGGGAAAAGGCTGATTACCAGTCTGGAGCAAATAAAGGTCAAGGTGAGTCTGAAGCATTTCTTACCAGAAATCAAGGAAGTGCTTAATGACTGATGGGAAACCAGCCTAAATGGGTTCCCCTTGTCAATCCCTGGATAACTAGAGCACCAGAAAGAAAAAAGGTGATAAAGCATTATAAACCATATAGAAATACTCAAGAAAAATGGGCTGGGAAGGAAATTTAACAGAAAAAGGTCATCTAATAATCACAGAAGGAATGACAGAATTAGAAAAACCACATTCTGCAACCATCAGTTTATAACAACTGATTCAAGCAAGGATCATCAAGGGATGCTACAGAAAGGAGGTTGCTGGAAGACACCACAGCCTCAAATTATGGTCCTGCTGGTTATGAGTGACAAAGGCACAATAGAACCGCTATCATGGAAAGATCTAGTAGACATCACCTTCACCAAATGACTGTCTGGGAACAACTTGACAATCTGATGGATACAATGGAAGCACACACAAGCATGAGTCCTCGTGATGCAAATGGCGAACTACAGCTAATCAAGAGGAACAACTAGACAAACCCAACTTATGGAATATTCTGCAAAACAACCAGCCCAGACCTTTAAAAAAGAAAATCTGTCAGATTTCCCTGGTGGGTCCAGAGGTTAAGACTCCGCCTTCCAATGCAGGGGGCATGGATTCAATCTCTGGTCAGGGAACCAACATCCCATACGCCATGGGAGTGGCCAAAAATCAAAACAAGAGCAACTGTCAATGTCTTGAACAAAGAGAGCAGGGAAGTGTCTAGAATTAAGACAACTGAAGAGACAGGGTTATCGGAAGCAACGCTTCCCTGGCTCCTGGCTGGAACATAGCTCTAGAGCATAGTTAAGGAAATGCAACCATGTATTACATATTAAGTAGTAGTGTTCTATCAGTGTCAGATTTCTCAGCTGTGATAATGACAGTTACATAGGAGAACATCTGTTCTCCTATTAGGGTATTTAGGGTGAAAGTGTTAAGATATACACAGCTTACTTTCAAGTGGTTCTATGGAAAAAAAATGGTATATGTGTGGGAAAGAACAAAATAAAACCAACATGTTAGTTTAGGTGAAATGTATACAGGTGCTCACTACACTTTATCAACTTTTTTAATAGGAATTTTTCAAAACAGAAAGTTGGGAAAAATATT